CCCCCACAGAAGCTGCTAGTGCCAGTGACTGCATAGCTTTTTTTTTTTTTTAAGTGCCAGGAGGCTGAGGCTGGGAGGATAGCTATCGGGGAGGCTGGGGCTGCAAGCAGGGGATAGGACCAGGTCAGGCAGTCATCAGGGAGAGCTGGAGGAGCCAGTGGGGGATGGGACCAGGTGGGACAGAAATCTGGGGGACTGGGAAAGCAAGTGGGGGTAGGGCATGTGGCCCTCTGGGGGGGTAGCCCCTGAGGGAGCCATGTGGCCCGTGTTGGAGGGGCTGTTGCCCCTGTTGGGAGGCAGTCTGTGAGCTGTGCAGGGAGGCTGTACCATGTGGGGGGCAGGGAACCCACCCCTCCTGAGCAACCCCCCTACACAGTCCCTCTACAATCCACCCATACCGACACACACACCCCATGATCTCCTACATCCCTCCACAGCCACCCACATCCCTCACTCCTCTTCCAACTCTCCTCCTGCCAACCCCACATTACCCTAGCACACACCCTGCATGCCCAGCTGCTAGATAGGATTAGACCTGCTGGGAGGAGCTGTGGTTAGTGAAGGGGTCACAGGGAGCTCTAACTGCTCTATGGTAAGAAAACCAAAGGCAAACAGGAAATCATATAGGTATTTAGAATTCATTTTCTTATGATGATAGTGACACTGGTTGGCTTCCAAATTGCTTTAACACTGTAGATATATCAATAAAATGTTGCTCAACTGATTGCTGTCTCTGTCTCTCTCTCTCTATATATAGTGATCTTTTGTTTTAATTGTGGAGGAACATGGATTTGGGGGTATTTTACCACGTGACTTCAGGATTTTTTTAATCTGGGATTTTTCAGTTTTCAAATAGGGTATACCAGAATTCCTTCTAGGGAGGCAAGTGGCAGGACCCAGGCAGAAGAGTCAGAAGGGCATTCTTGGACAGTTCAAAGCAGGCCACCACACTGGGAACATCTGGGTGATAGCTGCCCAGATGGCCGGGCAAGGGCGCACATGGCAGTAATGCTGCACAAAGGCCATCTGTGCAGCCACAGCCCACTGGCAGCTGGCCCAGAGAGGCAGATGTCTCTACTAGCTGTGCAGTCCCCATCTGGGTCTGGCAGCTGCGCAGCAGGTCACAGCCAGGCAGCAGCCCCCACTGCCGGACTGCTGCAGTGAGTAAAGGGTGCAGGGAACTCTCAGGGCTGCTTCAGCAGTCCAGCTGGCACAAGGGGCAGTGTCTCCAGGTACCAACTAGCTGGGCCGCAGAAGATCCTGAGAGCGAGTAGCCCTGAACTACTTGACAGGGCAGCTTTACTGATGGGGCCAGGACAGGGCAGTTTTTTATACTGCTATGCACAGCACAGGTGCTGGTCCTGGGCTCTAGCTCCCCCTGGCTGCAGATCCAGGAGGAGCCAGGCAGGGTTACTGTGCCCCAAGTGGCACAATTTGCCCCACACCAAAGTGCATGTCCAGGCATGTGCACTGAGGCAAAAAGCCCCATCTCAATATTTGCACCACTTCTATTTGAGCTGCTACAAGCGCATGTGCTTGCATACCTGGACGCACCCATGGGGGCATCCTGACAAGCATGCATGTGTGGTTTGTGGCACCACAGACCTGTTTGTAGTGCCACAAACTACATGCACTGCACATGCAGGTGCTCGTCATGCTGCCCAAAACTGGAGCCTGGCCAGCCACAGCCATGTACCAGCTGCCAATCAGGCTCCATGCACCTGTATCTCTGCCGCTGGATCCTGAGAGTCCCCCAGGACCTCAGGTAAGGCTGCTGATGCCAGCCCAGGTGCTGGCCCCAGCTTCCCCTACCCCACCTGGATCTTTTTTCCCTGCAGCAATGGCACACCTTTGCTTGTGGAGACATGGCCATGGAGTACGTCAGAGCAACCTGACATCTTCATACAGCTGTCAAGAGTCTGTTCGAACAGCTGGAGATAGCCCAGCTATTCCCCACTTGCACTGAGACCACTGACAGCATTGTACAAGATATACTTCTAGAGTGCTAGCCACATAAGGATTTTATACTACCTGGCAAATTTCAAGGGGCTGATTAGGTGGCTCTTAGGGTTGCTTTTGCAGATTAAGCAAGAAGAAGTGAAAGTGGGCATAAGGATCAGGACCTGTGTGGTGTTCTAATTAATCTTCTATACTTGTTTCCTACATTAAAGCAGACACTCTACTTTACTGAATATTTTTTAAAGCAAGCTCCAAATGGTTATTTTATGTAGTGTCTAATCATCAGGTAGTAGAAGTAAAGAAATCTGGAGAGGTTACAATTTTATTAATAATTGTATTCTATTAAAGATACCATCGCTCCAAAAATAGGACACCATAAATTAGTTTTGGTAAACATTTACCTTTAGAATAATGCTGAGTTCTTTGGAATTTATGGTTTATCAGAATATGATTAATGCTTTTCACAGAGGTACAATGGTTACCATTGTACCCTTGAAAATGGAGTACCTTAAACATCATATAGTGCCAGCCCATTAATAATAA